CCCCAAAACCCCAAAACCCCAAAACCCCAAAACCCCAGCTGTTTAAATCAATCACTAAATTCATGAAATTAAAATTATATCAATATTAGAGATGAGATTTGACAGTATCAAGTCCTTCTAATCTTTCATACTACACTTCTAATATTGCAGGGTTGTTATTTGGTCTTTTGGCCACGTATTTGTTTATTGAGGAGCTATTTGATAAAGGATTTTAATTGAAGTTGTAAAATTCTAAATTTTATCCTTCAATTCTGCTATCACTTATTGGGGTTTGAGCTTGAGTTCTTATCTTACTAGAATACTTGCCTTACTTTAGAGTTTTATTTTCCTCATATTTTAAAACATCGTATTATGAATGTGAGACCAAAGTTTTTTCGTTTAATCGTTTTCGTCTTGAACCAGACTGAGCAGTATTTGGCTTTATAACTGGATAATTTAGATTCATGGACTCGTTGAATATTTTCATTTGATTAATTTACTTTACTGTACGACCTTAGTAATTCTTGCTCACATTTGATTCCTCCACAGTCAACTTTGGTATTACTGGCGTCATTCTATCCAGAGCGAAAAGATCACTTACATTGACTGACAGCTTGCTGCTAATATTCATTCTCTCCTTATCATGAGTTTTTATTTGAGATTGAGTGTCTTTCAGATTTTACTTTCTTTCTCGGTACTCTTTGTATCCGCTGCTAGGCTTGCTCCAAAATTTATTAAAAGTTTCATCATCGATGTGAAGAACTTATTTAGAGGATAATTGCTCTTTTGGCTAAACTTTGTCCTTAAGTACATAAGTCTGCTACTATATCACTTAGGGTTCTTCAATTTTAAATGGTTTATCTGGAACATTATTACTAAGTATAAACTCTTCTATTTATGTCTTTTCCTCAAGTAACTTCCTCATTTCCGCATGAAATTCTCTCATTGCTTTGAAATCACTTTAAGTTTAATGCTATGATAGTATCTTAGTCTTTGCGTGATTATATTCACCATCCAGAACATATGCGAGCTGCCTCTCAATGTTGTCTAATCTATCTAATATTTCTCGATACTTATTAGTACTCCTTATGAATTAAGAGGACATAGAGGGTTTATGGACAAGCTTAGAGCTCTTTTCTTTGTGTGAATCTAGAAAACTTATCTTTGTCGTATATATCTTTTTAACATGAGAATGAGCTCTCTTAGATCGAGAAGTTAGACCTTGATTTTTTTAGACATTTAAGTTCATATCATTAGTCTCAAGCTAGATGTTTTACGGCTTGCTAATGTGCTCAAACGAAAGATCCTGCCTTATTTTCTAATTCAGATGTGTATTGAAATTTGTGATAGAATCGTTTACCTATGATATCTTATTATCATGGTTAATTGCATGTCCAGATATTGAATCCTAACTTTCAATCAAAGATTGAATTTAGTCAATCTTTGAGTCTAGATTAAAACACTTTTCTTCAACTGCCAAGTTAGTTTTCTTTTTGTATTCTTCGATTTCTTTGATAACCTACTAGTTTATCATTAGTTTGTATTAAGTTAGCTTCTCTTCAATCCTTTCATCTTATTAATTAGCTAACTTATCAACTTTTTCCTTAAGTTTCTTTTTAGCCTTTTCTATCATTGTTTTTTACTCTAGGTATTAGATATTAGTGGCTTCGACCTTGTCTTATATCTCTCTTGATATTTATGTCTTTAACTAGATTAATCTCGGCTCTATTTAATCAGCAACTAGCGTAATTTTTGTTTGAAATTCATCCTTTAAGACTTTTAATTCCCCTGAAATGCCGTTTCCCAGGAGATTCTGGACATCATCGTTTACCTTTTAAACTATTTAAAGCTCATGCTTAATAATTGAGGAAATCTGATTCTGTGTCATGCATTTGTCCAGTCTTTTCTCTATTTGGCTGATTGCCTTTGCCTATAAGTTTATTTCACTTTATACATTCTCTTTGAAATTCGACTTAACCTTAGGTTTTGTGCTTTCTATACTTTATTTTTGTAGCTCTAATACATCTTGAAGCTATTTTTAAAGAAGCCTTAGCTGATCTTCCAATTCGCGAATTCTGCAGTCTTACTCCGAGTTACCACCAGTGAGAAGATTTTACTGACTGTGAATGCTAGACTGTTCTTCTATCTTGATCTCATTTTACTCTAATTTAGCGTTTAAATTAATTAGCTGCTCATTAACAATGTGCTTGAAAGTTTCTTGCTAGCTGTGAGACTGATCAAACCAGCTAGAAACCTCCTAAAATCTATAGTCAAGATCACTTCTCATCTATTGCTAGAGCGATCTCATTTCAGCCTTTAAATTTTCATCTCTTCTTTATATATCTTTTTCAATTCTCAGATTGGCATTGTTAAATCTAGCCTTAATCTATTCTGCTTTCTAATTGACACCTGTGATATTTGCTTCATTAACCTCGTTGACTTCAATAATTAATTTAAAGGCTGCTACAACGCACACTGGTATATTCTTCCATTCTTCAGGCTTTATTACAGCTAATCTACTCTTATGCAGTTTTATTGAGGTAAATTCTTTATTGCTTGAAGTTCCATTGATGTTAATTCCACCATTGTTATGAGATATAGAATTTTAGTTACTGTTTAAGCCATTATAAGTCTGAGGTGTGTTCAACTAGTATTGAATACTGCTATCTGGTGCTAGCTCATTCACTTTCTTATCAAGGTCATTAAGATAAAATGAAGTCCTTCCAGGAGTTGAGGGAGAATTCTGAGTATCGTGATGATCTTTAGGTACACTCTGAAATGAAGAGCTTTCGTTGTACATTTAATATATTATCAGTATTTTTATTTATTTTAAACAGACCTAATACTATTCTTGAGGGGTTTTGGGGTTTTGGGGTTTTGGGG